CGCCCCCCGCGCTCCCTCGGCCACTTTCGCTTTCGCGTCTCCCGAACTGCGCCCGGCGGGGCCGGCGGAGCAGCGCGATGGCTCCAGCGCTGGGGCTGGGGGCGCTCCTGGCGATCCTGGGGGTCTTGGCGGTCTCGGGGGGGCAGCCCGAGGGTAAGTGGGACCCCCGGAACGGGCAACTCCTCAGCCTTTATTCCCGGGCACCGGCACTTCCCTGAACCTCCATTTCCGGGAACCGGGACCCCCCTGCACCCTCTCCGTCAGCACCGGGACCCCCTGAATCCCGATTGCTGAGCACGGGAACCCCCTGAGCCCCCATTCCCGGAAGGAGACCCCCCTGAACACCCATTCCCGGGCACGGGAACCCCCCTGAACTTCCATTTCCAGGTACTGGGACCCCCTCTGCACCCTTTTCGTCAGCACCTGGACCCCCTTAAACCTCTTTATCCAGGACCGGGACCCCCCAGTTTCCATTCCTGGGCACTGAGAACCCCCGAACAGCCATTGTCGGGCATGGAAACCCCCCTCAACCTCCATTTTTGGGCACTGTGACCCCCCTGAACCTCTATTACTGGGAAGAGGACCCCTCTGAACCCCCATTCCCGGGCATAGGGACCCCCTTGAACCCCCATTACCAGGCACGAGAATCCCCCCCCCCTCCATTTCCGGGCACTTGGACCCCCCTGCACCCCGTCCCACAGCGCTGGGACCACCCTAAAGCCCCTTTCTCTGGTACGACCACCCCCTGAACCCCCATTTCTGGGCACTGGGAGCCCCCTGAACCCTCATTGCAGGCACAAAGATCCCACTGCACCCCTTATCCAAAACAGGGATACCCTGGAACCCCTATTCTGGGCACTGGGACCCCTGTTAACCCCCTTATCCTGTATTAGGACCCCTCTGAACCCCCTTTTCCTGCACTAGGACCCCCTGAACCCCCATCCCCGGCACCAGGATCCCTCTGAACACCCTTATTCTCAACAAATACCCTCCTGTGCCTTTTTTCCTTGACCCTGGGACCCCCTGGATCACCACTCTTGCCTTTCCCAGCCCTCACTTCCCTCAACCCCGGGGACCACTGGACCCCCCTTTCCTGGGCACAGGGACCCCCTGGATCCCCTATCCCAGCTTTACCAGTCCCAGCCCCCCCTTTCCTTGAACCTTGGACCCTTCCCAGTTCTCCCAGTTCCACTTCCTTGACACTTGGACCCCCCAAACCCGCTAATCTCTGTGACCCCCCCAGTTCTCCACTCCCTGTGCTTCCTGCAGGGGGGTCCCAGGCACCGGGAACGCCCTCGACCGCAATTCCTGGGCACCGGGACCCCCCTGAACTTCCATTCCTGGCACTGGGACCCCCCTGCACCCCCTCCCCCAGCACCTGGACTTCCCTAAATGCTCTTATCCAGCACTGGGACCCCCTGAACCCCATTCCTGGGAAGGGAACACCCCTGAACCCCCATTCCTGGGAACTGGGATCCCCCTGAACCTCCATTTCCAGGCATGGGAATCCCCCTGCACCCCCTTATCTAGCGCTGGGACCACCCTGGACCCCATTCCTGGGCACTGGGACACCCGAAGCCCCATGCCCAGCTCCAGGACCCAATTGAACCCCCTTATCCTGCACCCCCTTTCCCAGCCATTCTGACTCACCCCATGACCTCTCTTTTCCCACCCCTGAGCCCTGCTTTTCCTGGGCTCAGGGACCCCTGGATACCCCATCCCACCTCTCCCAGTCCCTACACCCTCCTTTCCTTGGCCTTTGGATTCCCAAACCCCCTTCCTGGCTCTCCCAGCTCTCCCAGTTCCCCCTTTCCTTGACCCATGGACACCCCCAGAGCCCCCAAATCTCCGTGTCCCCCCAGTTCTCCACTCCCTGCGTTACCTGGATGTGGCGGTGACAGAGCCCAGCCCGGGGATCCCTCAATTCATGGAGATGGGATACGTGGACGGGATCCCCATCACGCGCTACGACAGCGAGCGGGGCTGGACGGTGCCGCTGACGCCGTGGATGGCGGCTGGAGCCGAGCCGGGATATTGGGATGAAGTGACCCAGATCAGTGAGAGGAGCCAGCTCATTGATGCCGAGAACCTGGAGATAGTGGGGAGGGGCCGGTACAACTGGAGTGGGGGTGAGTGGGGGGAGCCGGGGAATGGGGGGATGTGTGGGAATGGGATGGGATCTGTGGGGCTGGGATGGGAATCCAGGGCACTCCAAGGTGCTGGAATGGGATCTGTGGGGCTCCAAGGGCTGGGATGAGGCTCTGTGTGTCTCCATCGGACTCTGGGGCTCCACAGGGCTGGAATGGGGCTCCGTGGGGCTGGGACACAATTCCAGCGGTCTTAGTAGGTCCTGCTCCACCCCCAGGTCTCCACACAAGGCTGGAGGCTTATGGCTGTGACCTCCTCTCCGACGGGACTGTCCGTGGATACGACCACATTGGCTACGACGGGCGGGATTTCATCTCCTTCGAGCCGGGATCCGGGAGCTTCGTGGCAGCCGATGGAGCTGCCCAGATCACCAAGAGGAAATGGGAACACGATGGGATTGTGGCAGAGGAGATGAGGAATTACCTGGAGAACACCTGTCCGGAATGGCTCCAGAAGTACGTTGGATACGGGCAGGAGGCGCTGGAGCGCAAAGGTGAGGGAGACAGAATTCCCATGGGAATGTGAGATTTGGGAATGTGGGATTTGGGAGGGTGGAACTGAGGAACATGGGAATTCCCGTGGGAATTCTGTGGATGAATCTGAGTCATCCAACTCCCATGGGAATTCCACTGATGGATCCCACTGTTGTCCCATTCCAATGGGAATTCTGTGGATGGATCTCACCCCAATCCCATTCCCATGGGAATTCCATGGATGGATCTCACCATTACCCCATTCCAGATCCCCCTGATGTCCATGTGTCTGGGAAAGAGGAACACGGGATCCTGACGTTGTCCTGCCACGCGTACGGATTCTACCCCGGGACAATCGGGATCAACTGGCTGAAGGGGGATGAACTGCGGGATCAGGAGACGGAGTGGGGCGGGATCGTTCCCAACAGCGACGGCACCTTCCACAGCTGGGCCAGGATCGAGGCGCTGCCGGGGGAGCGGGAGCAGTACCGGTGCCGGGTGGAGCACGCCGGAATGCCGGAGCCCGGGATCTTCGCCTGGGGTGAGGCTGGGAACGGGCAATGTGGGAACTGGGGGTTTGGGAAGGAGGAATTTGGGAGTGTGGGACAGCGGGATGGGGGTAACCCTCCCCCTCTTCCCCCTCCTGCCCCTCCTGCCCTTCCCAGAGCCAGAATCCGTCTGGAATTCCAGCCCGACGTCGGTGGCCGTGTCCGTCATCGCTACCATCATCATCATTGGCCTCGTGGTAGTCTGTGTCTGGAAGCTCCGATCCGGTAACTCCCGGGATGGGGGTCGGGAAGGGGCACGGATCCGCCCGGCAGCATTCCGGGGATCGTGTGCCATGGGTGCTGATCCCGCTTTCTTTCCATAGGGAAGAGGGAGGGGAATGGATACGGCCCCATGCCCACCAGTGAGTACCAGCAGCGTGTGTGGATCCAGATCCTCTGTGCAGGGATCCCAGGATGGATGCCGGGATTCCAGAGGGGAATGGGGACCTAATGGCTGGAGTGGGATTGGAAGGGGATTCCAGCTCAGGGCAGGATTCCAGAGTGGGCTCAGGTGGAATTGTGGACTGGGATCAGGGCTGGATTCTGGAGTGGGATTGGGGTGGGATGGATGGAGTGGGATTGGGGTGGGATGGATGGAGCGGGATTGGGGTGGGATGGATGGAGCAGGATCAGGAGGGAATCCGGAGCAGTTCCTGCTCTCCCTGGGCTCCACAGCTGGCTCCATCCCCTGGGATGGGAACAGGGACATGGTGACTCCTTTCCCCGCTCTCATCCCGGCAGGAATCACGGCCTGAGCGATCCCGGAGCTGGATCCGCCCCTTCCCTCTCCCTGCGGAAAGGCAGGAGCTGCTGGCAGAGCTCATCCCGCTGCTCCCACCCACCCCGGCCCCCCTGCGGCTCTTCCTGACGGATCAACTTCCTGCTTTTTCCTGTGTGAAACCCAGGACCACAATTATTCCTGAGGCTTTAATTTTGGTGTGAAAATCTCCTGCTTTGGGCAATAAATCCTGGCTCCCTCCTCCGGCATCCGTCAGTTCCTCTCTGGGAACCAGGAATGGGAATGGGGACATTGGGGGCAGGGATGGGGACACTGGGAGCAGACTGAGGACACCAGGAATGGAAATGGGAACTCCAGGAATGGGAATGGGGACATTGGGAGCAGGTTGGGGTCACCAGGAATGGGAATGGGGACACTGGGAATGGGAATGGCGACATTGGGAGCAGGTTGGGGACAGCAGGAATGGGAACACCGGGAGACAATGGGGAAAAGAATGGGGACACCAGGAGCAGGATGGGAAGACTGGGAGAAGGCTGGGGACACTGGAACAGGCTGGGGACATCAGGAATGGGATGGAGACACCAGGAATAGCAATGGAGACATTGGGAGCAGGTTGGGGACAGCAGGAACTGGGAATGGGGACACACGGAAATGGGAATGGGGAAAACAGAACTGGGATGGGAACATCAGGAATGGGAATGGGGACACCAGGAATGGGAATGGGGAAAACAGAACTGGGTTGGGAACTCCAGGAATGGGGACACCAGGAATGGGAATGGGGACCTGGAGGACCACGATGAGGACACTGGGAGCAGGCTGGGGACGGCAGGAACTGGGATGGGAACACCAGGAAAGGGAACGGGGACATCGGCAGCAGGTTGGAGACACCAGGGACTGGGAATGGGGACATCAGGAATGGGACGGGAACACTGGGAATGGGAACACCAGGAATGTAATGGGAACATGGGGGACCAGGATGGGGACACTGGGAACTGATGAAGAGAAGTAGAGACCCCAGACTCACCCAAACCCCTCCCAGAACTGAGGGCCAAGAGAAGCTCTGCCTGAGCTCTGCCTGAGCTCCGGCCGTTATTAATATGCATAGATAGATATTGTAATCATATTAATATGATTTATCACATTTAATCATATATGAAAATTGTATAAAACCCTTGATTTTGTGTGAAACCCTTGAGCAAGTTCTCTGTGGTGCGAACCACGCTCGCTCCTGACATCGGCAATAAATCCCTTCGCTGCTCAAAGATCCAAAGTCTCTGAGCAGTTCTTTATTCCGGATTTTTCGGATTCATTTGGTGACCGCGGCAGGACACCTTCTCCACCCGGCTGCGGAATCCTTGGAGCTCGGGGCCCCCTCGGGCGCCCTCGGGTGAGTCTTTTCACCCGAAGGGTCTCCCCTTCTTCGGTGGCTTCCTGCGGGGGCTGACCAAGAACGCTGCCTGTCGATAAAAGGTGTTTATATTTGGTTTTGCCTGGTTTGGTTTTGGGTTCCCATAAGACGAGGACAGGACGCCGTCTCGCTGGGAGGGGAGAGGAAGCTCATCCTGGGGAGTATCATATCCCCTTTGGGCTGGTATGTTCCAGTTTTGTTTGTATTTGGCCGAATATGGTTTATTTTGAGGGAAACAAGGTATCCTTTTGGTTGTTCTTTTGTTTATGGTTTGAGGCACCTATTGTATTATGTATTCTTGGACAGTGGCAGTGGTCATGGTATTCTGTTTGGTTTAGGTTGCTTTGATAATTTTGTGTTGCCTTGTTTTGTGTTGGAACCAAAATGGAGCTCCTGAAGTGTCTGTTCCTTCTGAACCAGCCACAGAAACATCCTGTTAAGGTTTGTATGGGGAGAGGGGTCTGAAAAATTGACTGTGAATACACCACAGAGCCTGAGACCTGGAATTAGAATCTGTCCATTCTGCAATTGTTCCTTGTACGTATGTACTTCATGTAATAAGTGTTTGAAGTATATTTTAGGACCCCGATCTACCCAGGAAACAAGTTTAGGTTGGACTTTAAATTTGTATTGTATTAGATGTGGAGCTAATCAGACTTTGGAGGAAACTCGGTGTGCCAGATATTACTGTCGGTGAACTCATAGACGTGTTTCTTTTGAGATGTTCAGATTCATCATAGAAAATGTGTTTGTTCTTTTAGATTTTGTGGATTTGTGTGGATATACAGGCTTGTTGTGAGAGTCAGGTGTATTTGTGGTCTAAGGGGGACATCTTCTGGATTTTTGTATTAGTGCAGATTGGTTGTAAAATCAGTGGATTTAGGAGGTTTCGATCAAGAAGTAGTTTTTGGATTTGAAGGGTGGATATTATTTGGCAGTGTAATAGTTGTGATTTTGAGAATATTCTAGATTTAATAATTTATCTTCATAATGGGGGTCAAAATGCGTAAGGAGATAAATGCCAAGACTCCCGTGGGATGCATATTGAGCCACTTCAAAGCAAAGGAAGAACAGTTATTGGCAGCCCTGAGTTTGGCTGTGAGCTGTGTAGAACCCAAACAAAACAGTCCAGTTATTGACCAAATTATAAATGAGGAATGCCCATTAGTCTGGGTATTAGTCTGGGCCACTGACACTCGAATAGAACTACAACGAGGAGCCAAACTAGGGGCTAAGAAGCAATATCCACTGAGGCTGGGAGATAGGAAAGGGATTGAACCAATAATTGAAAACTTTTGGAAGTTAGGACTCTTGAGAGAGTGTGAATCAGACTTTAACACCCCAGTTCTCCCAGTCAAGAAACCAAATGGGACTTATAGGCTGGTTTAAGATTTAAGGGCAGTAAATGAAAGAGCTAAGATTATACACCCTGTGGCAGCAAATCCTTATACACTTTTAACTGAATTAAGAGATAATTTGATTTGGTTAACAGGGTTAGATTTAAAAGATGCCTTTTTCTGTTGTGCTGGTTTAAAGGTAAACTGGCAGGGGAAAATGAACCCAACCCAAAAGGGAGATTATAAGTCAGAATAACAATTTAATAAAATAATACAATAAGTACGATTATACAGACAAACAGTTGGTTTTAACCCACAAAACCCAAATGTATAACCCAGCACCCTGGGGCATGAACAGAGTGGTGTTTGTTGGGCCCCCTGAGTCCAAAGTAAAGGGAGAGGGGAAAAAAAAACTGTTGGTGACAGTGGTGATGCAGTCTGGTCGAGAGTGGTGGTCTCAGTCTGGTTGAGAGTGGTGGTCACAGTCTGGTTGAAGAGTGATGGTCTCAGTCTGGTTGACAGTGGTGATCTCAGTCCGGTCGAGAGTGGTAGTCACAGTCTGGTTGAAAAGTGATGGTCTCAGTCTGGTTGACAGTGGTGGTCACAGTCTGGTTGACAGTGGTGGTCTCAGCCTGGTTGACAGTGGTGGTCTCAGTCTGGTTGAGAGCTGTGCTCTGCAGTCTCCCTCTGGATCCCACGAGTGTGGGAGCCCAAACCCAGCTTTCAGCAGAAGAAAGCTCGGTTGACAAACATCTCACGAGCTGAAGAAATTTGGACCCTTGTCCAGAACTGCTGACGCACAACCCAAAGATACAAACCTGTCTCCAAGAAGAATTAAGAAAGGACTTTTTGAGATGATTGTTAAAACCATGTCTGAACCCCTGTAATCCCTCCATCCCCCGTGGAATCCTACTAGAAGAAAAATTAACTCTTTGGAAACTGCAGTAAAAACTCATGTAACTCCCCAATTAACACAGGTTGGCCCCTTCCTTAACATGTCCACCCCAGATGCCTTTAAAATTGTGTTCTGGTGTTCACACC